ACCTCATTTCTTATTCATCAACCCCAGAATAAAATTAAGGCCTAAACTTCCACAGTAAGTCATACTTCAAAGTTTATGGCCTAATTTATTTTTTCATCATGGTTAACCAGAAAAGTGTGGACATCTTAGTTCCTCATTATGAAGTCGTGTTCATTATATCTTATCATGAGAAAGTCAAGGAGGTAGGTGTTTACTGAGCATTAGCACAGGCTTGATACTCTGCATGGAATTTCACAACAGTTCTTTGCTCTCATGGGGCAACTGGGGTAATAAGACCTACAGAGGAGAGACTAAACTGTGTACCATTTCATGAAAAGCCATGCCCTTTCTTTCCTCCAGGTTGTTATACATGCTGTTCCCACATTGTTGAATACTTAACCACAACCTTCCTTCAAGACTTGCTTCATGGTTACCTCATTATCTTTCTGGTCTCCCAAGTGGTTCTGTGCTCTGTTAATGCCTTATAAGGTGTTATGGGGTCCATGCCCAGTGTGATGGCTATGAACAAGGACTCAGAATCCAGTACACCTAGGGTTGAATCCTGGCTCTGCCATTTACTAGCTATGTGACCCTGATGAAGCTATTTGACTGCTTCAATTTCCCCATCTGTAAATGGTGATAATGATACTACTTACTTTATACAGTCAAGGTAAGGATTAAAATGAATTAATCCAGCAATTCTGCAGGTAAAGACTGTGAGCCACCAGCCTTAGCATAACCTAAGAATTTGTTGACATGCCAAGTCTCAGGTCCCACCCCAGCTCTACTGAATCAGGAATGCTGGAAATGGGGCTAGAAATCTGTGTTTTAAAAAGTCCACCAGGTGACTGAGATGCACATTCACATTTGAGAACTACCAAGTTAATATATTAAAGCATTTAGAAGAGCATGTAAGTATCACCAGGAATTCTGGTTAACAGTATTTATTTTGGGCAGTCTAGGAAGCATGATTATTGGTGATTTCTTCTTTTTGTCTCATTTTTCCTAATTTTTCTACTAAGATTGTACTTATCTAAAAAGTAGATTAATCAGTTATTTTAAAAACTTCACTAAGAGAAAAGTCACCTACATAAATAACTACAATCT